GTCCATTATCACGAGGGCAGGAATCTGTCAGCAGAAGATGTCGAAGGTGAATTAGCTGTGCTCCTGAAATTGTGATCTCGACGACGGATGAGGTGACGATCGATGATATCAAGATGGGAGATCTGGAGTTCAACACCCCGGAGGAGATCGATCGGCTGCGAAAGAAGATCTGGCACAGGAATCACCTGCTGATCGGCAAGGGCAATCCACTTCCCCCAGCAGCCCGGGGCGTCACCTGCGACATCGACGTGGGCGACGCGAAGCCGATCGCTCAACGCGTCCGGAAAGTTGCCCCTCAGTTCGTGGAGAAGGTGTCCGAGCTGATCAAGGGATTATTGTCAGCCAAGATGATTCGGAAATCTCGATCACCGTGGGCCTCGCCGATTGTCGTGATCATCAAGAAGAACGGCGTGGATATCCGACTCTGCATCGATTATCGGCTCGTCAACAGTCTAACCAGGCTGATGGTATATCCGATGCCCTTGATCAACGATTTGCTGGAGGATCTGGATAAGGTACTCTGGTATTGCTCTTTGGACATGGCTAGTGGATTCTGGGTGGTGACAATGACCGATCGAGCTCATGCGATCTCGGCCTTTATCACCCACATGGGTCTGTTCGAGTGGAACCGGATGCCGTTCGGCTTGAAGAACGCTCCTCAGATCTACCAGCGACTTCTGGACGACGCGTTGTATGGGTTCACCAGGATCCCGCGATCGTCGGGCTGTGAAGTCACTACGGACTTGATCGAGTCAGGAGAACCAGAAGATCCGGGGCGTCCATCAGTGCTAGGTCGCAGATCGTATATTGACGACATTTGGTGACGGCCGGGTCATGGGACGAGCTGTGTGATCGCGTGGATCACCTGCTGGACGCTTGTGATAAGTGGAACCTCTCGATCAGTGTGGAGAAGAGCTCTTGGGGGATGCGTAAGGTGGACTATCTGGGACATCGGGTGTCGAACGACGGGCTAGAGGCCAATCCGAAGGATCTCACGGCTCTGACTGATCTGCCGTTCCCCGGATCACTCCGATCGATGCAGTCGTTCTTGGGCAGTCTCAATTATTACAGCCGTTTCTTGGAAGATTACGCGATCTACGCAGCGATCCTGTACGAACTGCGCGAGGTGGACTTCGCCGAGCTGAAGAAACGCCCCGATCTGCACCAGATCCTGGATCGTCAAGTACTGAACTTAGTGGATACGGACCCAGTGAACCCCGATCGGACTCCATCAGTTCCTGAAGTCGGTGTAGCCGATGAACGCTGGATCCGTGCTCATCGTGCCCTTTCGACCCTGAAGATGAAGATCGCGACGACACCGATCCTGCGGCACTTCGATCGCAATCGGACTCCGGTCGTGATTGTGTATGCCAGTGACTGGGCGATCTCGGCCGCATTGATGCAGGAGCACGACCAGATCTATCATCCCGTTACTTTCGCCAGTCGAACGCTGAAGTCGAATGAACTGAATTACAATGTGGTGGAGAAAGAAGTACTGGCGCTGTTACGGATCCTGGACCTGAACTATAACATGCTGGTTGGACGATCCATCCGGGTCTTGACCCGACACTCGACGTTGGCGTGGCTGTTCCGATCATCTGGTCTTCGAGGCCGATTGGGCCAGTGGGCTGCACTCCTATCGTCCTGGACACTGGAGATCACGAAGTGCACCAAGGGAGAGGACGAGATATTGGGGGCGATCGCCGCTAGTATTACGCCTCGATCGGATCTGTACGACGCGTTGATCGCGATCGCGCCGAAGAAAGAACCCCGGCGGAAGATTCAAGCCCCGATCCCGACGGTGCGTGCGGACGAAGAGCTGCTGGTGATGAGTTTCGATGGATCCGCCCGCGTCAAGCGAGGCGGGGCGCGTACACTGCAATCTTGTGGAAGTTACCCGAATGGAGTGTGGTGAAGGCTTGATCGGGCTATGCCGAAGGGCTGACTGTTAACGAGGCGGAGTATGATGGTCTGTTGTTGGGTTTCGACCTCCTGGACGGCATAGGTCGAGGCAGGTTAGTGGTCTGCGGTGACTCCAACCTGGTGATCCGACAAGTACGGGGCGAGATTGACGGCAAAGCACCTAAGCTGACATTGTTGAAGCAGAAGGTGCTGGATCAGCTACGGAACTGGCCAGATCACGAGCTGTTACATGTGAAACGAGACTGGAACGGAAGTGCGGACAGCCTGGCCAGTGCAGCACTCCAACGTGAAGGGGGCGTCATCGTCGAGGAGGATGCCGATCATGGGGATCTAGTGACACTGAACCGACTTGATGAGATCCTGGTCGTCCGGTCGGATGAGTCGATCGCCCGACTATCTCCGACGACAACCCGATCGGGCACCAGATCACGGCCGAACCCGACCGTCATGCAGGAGGAGTTCGTGCGAGGGTTGCGGATCGATCGGATTCGTCGAGCACAGGATGAAGAAACGTGGATCGCGGGTATGAAGAAATATCTGATGGGAGATGTGGCTGATGTGACACAGGATGAGGCCCGATCCTATGGCAACCTCGCAGCGGACTACGGGATCGACGGTGATAATCTGCTGTTCTATTGCCCACCCTCCAAGCGATCGGATGCAGATCGAGATGGACTGATGAGACTGGTGGCACCGGAGACGCTGCATCAAGACATCCTGCATCACTATCACTCCACTCTGGAAGGTGGACACCAAGGGATCGGGCGTACATACCAGCGGATCCACGATCACTTTCACTGGAGAGGTCTCTTCAGAAGTGTGCAGAAGTACGTCGGCGAATGTGTCGACTGCGAGACCGGCAAAGGACGACCCACGATCAGGGGCGAGTCGCCGGGAAACATCCAGGCGACATACCCGTTCCAGATCATAGCGATGGATCACATACCTTCGCTACCCAAGTCGTACAAGGGTACTACGGAATATTGCTACACCAATTAGAAAATGGTATTTTCATAAAATTTAATATTGATTTATAATTTCATAATAAATTTATCAAAATACCATTTTCGAATTGGTGTGGCAATTTTACATTTTCATGGTATTCTTACGGTGATACCGATTCATATTCGTTATTTTTTGTTTCTAATGCCAGCGTTTTCTTTTCTGATATCTTCAACATATTTCACAATATATCTTTATTAACATACAGAATGTTCCGCTACCTGGATTTTATTTTTGGATTGGCAAAATTTCAGGATGTAGATATCCAGAAATATTAGGTCAAATTCATTTTTGTTCATATATTCCGAAATTTGTATATGTTATTATTGTAGTTTAAAATTCTGATTTGTTAAAAAATGTTCATAAATTATATTTGAAATTCCTAATTTATATAAACTTTTAACAGTTTGATTAGTATTTACTAATGAAATAGTTGGTATTTTTAATGATTATTAGTATTTTTTTTAAATGAGGTTCTCTTTGATTAATTATTGTATCGATTGCGATAGAAGGAGAATCATTAGCTTATACTAATAAAGAAATATTACCGTTTATATATGGTAGTAGATATAATAATTTAAAAACAGGAAAAATGGGACTTGAACCATGGCCCTTATGAGTTGGGCTACACACGTGCTACTGGGTCGATCTGTTCACGGGATACGTGATCGCGAAGGCCAGTTCCTCCCGAACGGCGTAGACGATCGCCGAATCTTACGAAGAGTGTGTGTTCCGGCGATTTGGTGCTAGCGAGGTGATCAGGCACGATCGAGAGCCGGGATTTATGGCTGACTTCTTCCGCGCCTTTAACAAGATCCTGGGTATCCGCCAGCGAGCGACGATGGCAACTGCAGAGCGAATGGTACAGACGGCGACGAGGGCCCTGAAGATGTTCGTGGAGGATCTGGATTAGAGGGATTGGGATGAGTACGCAGAGCGATTGACCTTCGCGATCAACACGGCTCAGGATCGGGTCCGTGGGGACTCCCCATTTTATCTGATGCATGGATGGGATCCTCGATCGACGCTCGAGGCAACGATACCTTTGGGTAGTACCCGGACTCGGGATCGGGATCCTCGACAGTGGCGTTATCGGATCCAGAAGCACTACGATCAGGCTCAAGTCAGGTGAATGCTCGACTACGCGAGGCGATCGCGGATCGGGCCGATCGACACAATGAAGAAGTTCGACCGCACTCGATCGAAGCTGGATCTTAGGTGTGGCTGTACCTAGATCGAGTGAAAGAGGGGTATGCCCGGAAGTTGGCCCACCTGTGGCACGGCCCGTTCCGTGTTGCGGAGAAGATGAACGAATATACGATGAAGCTTCAGATCGCTGGTACGGACTATCACCTGTTCCCGATCGTGCATGTTTCGAAGCTGAAGCTGGTCAGGGACTTCCCCGATCGACCGCAGATCGCGCTCACGGTGGACGCAGCGGATCGACTCGATTTCGACGAAGTCTTACTTCCGGAGGACAGCTGGGCCCCAGATCGAGACGCGAATGAGTACGAAGTAGAGGAGATCACGGATATGCGGACGGGTCGAAGGACGCGGTACGACCGGACTTATCGAGAATTTCTGGTGCACTGGAAGGGTGACGACGAGCCTGACTGGGTCGACGAAGCTGATCTCAACTGTGGAGCTTTATTGCACGAGTTCCTTCGAGATCGCGTGAACCGGAACCGATTCAGCGCGATGCAGTCTCGCGAGGAGGAGTGAGATCGGGTCAGCTTGGTGAGAGAGAGGGATGACGGATCGACGGGGAGGCCGTTGATCGGAGGAAGGGGTTGTATATGAACGAATGAGTGTACGTGAGTGCAGATCGGACGGTTATGGAGTGAGTACAGGAAGACATGAGGACAGATCTTGGCCGATCGAATTAACAACGAATGGATTGACGGGGAACAGTGGAAGATCAAGGAAGAATGTGGGTTATTACGATGGAATGGATCAATCTGAGTACTTCGCGCTACGTGTATGGAAGATCGGCCTCCGCGTCACTCCTATTCTTGGGGTGTGATGGTCGACTGGCTCGGTATTCGCGGAAGTCGATCGTGGAGACGGCAATCATGTCACGGCTGGTGTTGGGCGCCGACGTTGGGGTTGAACTTGTTGCGGAGACGCGGGATCCGCTGGGCTGGATGGTCCTGGGGGTGGGCGCGGTACTGGTTCCGCCAGGGATCATGGGTGTCGGCCTCGATCAGCGCCGTACGGAGGTCAGTCGGTTCGCCTTGGTGTTGGGTGGGGTTGACGACGTTCGCAGCGCGAGATACCACGCCAGGATACCAGGTCACAGCGTCCCGCTGTCGCACCGGGATCTGCAGGAAGAATGGGTCCAGCAACAGATCGACGTCCGCCCACATCTCTCGCATCATCGGCAGCATATCGACGAGGAGTCGGCGCCACCGATCATCGAGGCGGATCCGTCGGGCACGACGATCGCGATGGTATCGCTCGACGATCTGATCCCGACGCTGGGCGGCCGTGATCGGGAGATAATAAGTTGTTTCCCAGAAGGCCTGGCGATTCTGCTCATCGAACTGAAGATAGGCAGTGGCGATCCGACCCAATCGGGTTCCGGCGCCTCGATGGAGTGCCAGATCGAACGTCAACGGATCGGCCGAGTTCTGCAGCGCCTGCCAAGGGCGATCGGCCATCAGCGCGGTGATGTTAGGTCCGGTGATCAGGTCGTCTCGATAGCCAACCCCGGCCGCAGGCTGTGCAATGCCCCGAACGACGAGCGGGAAGAGCCAGCCCCCGGGTAGGATGAGATAATGGGTCAGCGTCGACAGGATCATGCCGGTGATCTGTAGCTGTCCCAGCAGGATCGAAGGCCAGGGGTCTGTATCAGTCTGAGCAAGCGCCCTGGGGGCGTTGAAACCCGGGATCATGGTACCGATCGGGAACAACGGCGGGACCAGACGACGACGCCCCGGCGATCCAGGCGGAGAACCGGGCGGCGGCGATCCAGGTGGGGAACCAGGCGGGGATTCCGGAGACGTCGGTCCAGGTGAGCCATGACGGGACTGATGCGTTCCGTGGGACGATTGGGAGCGAGCCGATCCAGATTGGGAGTGAATTGACACGACGGAGGGCGATCGCGATTGCGAGCGAGCCGGCGAAGTGTGGGTACGGGCCGGCGAGGCAGATTGACGGCGGCGAGCCTCCGATCGGGATCGAGCTAAGGCTGCGAGAGCATCCTGATCAAACCCCTCCGACTCGTCTTCTTATTCGTCGGCTCTTGATCGGGCCACTCCGATTCGAAATTTTCCTCGTCGGTCGCGGATCGGGCCGGAGACGACTCGTCCTCTTCCGACCGGTCTTCCTGCGTAAATCGAGGGGGCGAACCTGACTCTTCTTGGTCCGATCCCTCTTGATCGTTCAGATCGGAAGGCGGTTGATCCGCAGTAGGCACCTTCTTTGCGGGTTGATCTTCGGCGGGCTGGCCCCCAGCGGGGAGTTCATCGTCATGGCCGGGTAACGAAAAGGAAGGCGAGGGAGACCGAGCGGGCGATCGACTCGTAGACCGACTGCGTGGTGGAGGCGCCGATCGGGCACGTTTGTGGATGTGCCCGACGGAGTCCGGAGATCCAGAGCGACTGCGGCTGCGACGGACAGGCATGGTCGGCGCGCACTGGCGAAGTCCAATCCACCGAACCACGCGAGATAAGGCGTCGTCGACATTCTCGAGATCCTCGTTGGATCGATCGCTGGCGCGCCGCAACATAGCGTAGGCGTCCTGGACGTCGATGAATTGGGCGTCTTGGGCACGGATCGCTTGTTGCGCGTTTTCGAGACACGATCCTGTAACACAGCGACGGCATGAGCAGCGATCGACAACGGAATATGCGACACGGAAAGTTTACGTACGGAGATCGGCGTTCTCTCGGAGCGCAACGTCGCGGTCCTGATGAGCTTGATCGACGTCTTCCACGGCAGCGGTGGCTTGGTCTCTCGCGGTATCTTGGGCGGTACGCATCCGATCCAGCTCCTCATTCACCTGGCGGAGGGCAACCTTTCAGTCGATCGACGTCGGGCGTGGGTCCAGTGGGGGGCGTCGGGGTTGGAGCGGCCGGAGCGGCCGGAGTGGCCGGAGTGGCCGCGGCTGTTTCGGCCATCCGAAGGGCAGTCTGGACCCGATCGAGGCTACCGCGTGTAAGGTCCAGCTCGTGGATCACCTCGTCCAGCTCGCGCTCTTGCTCGGAAACTTGCGATCGGAGGTCCGAAATGTCCGCCGTGGCGATATCGAGCTGGTAGTCCAGTCGATCACGATCGGCACTAGCAGTCGCGAGGTGGGCCTGAGCGCGTCAGCCGACGATCCAGAACCTGGATCTCGGCGGCTTGCTGGGCTATCTGATTCCGGAGGCCTTGGATCAGCTGCAGACCTTGACCCTGGGCACTCTGCTGAAGGTCCCTGGCTTCGGCCTGCAGACGGCGGATCTCTGCCTCTTGCGCCCAGCGGTGGCGCTCCAAGTCGTGTAGGTTCGCGGTCAGCTCGCGCACGGTGTCGTCCGGGCGCGCCCGGTCGCGGATCATAGTCGATCGGGAAGCGTAAGCGCATGCCAGCTCATCTTCTAGGCGGGCGATTCGGCGGGCAGCGTCGGAAGAAGCCGCGGCATGACGGGAGGCCGTCGATCGCGTCGATCGAGGGGTCGAATGAGTCGACCGGGGCGAGCCGCGTGTCGAACCGCCGTCGCCCGACGGACTGGGGGAATGTGCCGGAGGGTTGGTCGGCGGTGCGTCTATCTGGAGTAATCTGCGCTTGGGGCGGCGAATTGGAGAATGACCAAGGTCGAACTGTCCGAAGTGAGCCGCCGTGCGACACAACTTGCGGCCCGGGGGCGGATGTGGAGAAGTGCTGAATAAGAATTGTTCTCCGAGAAAGGCGGCAGGGCCGATCGACTGGAGGCGTGGGAGATCGGCGATCGAGAGACAGGCAGCAAGGATCTTCGGATCAGAAGGAGTTCTTCGGGAGATCTCAGGTGGTCCGATGACGCCGGCGCGTAAGGCAGGACATGTGGCAAGCCGGATTGTGGGTGATCGTGCCCGAACCGCGGCGTGATTCGTGGCCGACCCAAGTCCGGATCGACGACAGAAGCCGCGGATCTGAGATGGCCGAGGACAGAAGGTGATAGATCGGCGGCGCATGGCAACCGGCATAAGTCATCGATCGGGAGTGGATCGCCGATCGAGATCGACCGCGGATCGCCGATCGGGGTCGATCGTGGATCGGGAGCCGATCGTGGGTCGCCGATCGGGGTCGATCGCCGATCATGGCCGATCGGAGTCGATCACCGATCGGGTCCGTCGTGGATCGACCAGGATGGGACGCACATGGAGGACGAAGTCGGGGCAAGAATCCAGTAATCGTGTCGTTGTAGGAGGGTAAGCAAGATGGTAGCATTAGGGAGAGACCAGCTAAACATAAATCAGAAGAAAATTTGCACCAAAGACCACAAGTCCCCTCAAGTCACCAAGTCCCAGGAACTACATTGGCCTCGGCAGTGTCGACACTTTGGGTAGTGAACTAGCGGTACGGTAAAGACTGGATTAATACATTGACCAGCTTGACCTACTCTAGTGATCTATCTCTTGTGGGCAAGTCCCCGATCGACCGGATATTAGTGCTTGGCCGGCGATCGTTTCTCCTCTCGATCAACCTCGATCCCGCTAGAGGAAGCGGTAAGCAGCTCAAGAAAGGAAGGAACACACCCGGAAAGGCAACTACAGGCCTTGGATCAACTCCAGGCCGACCGATCGCAGCGAACAACCCTCGATCGGAGCGTATACTCGGACGCAGAGCAAAGACTACCGCGCTGCTCCACAAACTATCCCCGCGTCACGCCAAGACACTCGATCTTCACCAAGTGCTGCATCTTTGGAGCCCCGAGAGAGCAGATCCAGCCCGCTGACGGGTACACAAGGTGAGAACAAGTTCAGCCGATCACGGATCGTTGGGGAACCCCCTCCGTTAGTCGGTGTCTGGGCGCTGGTAGGAAGCTCGATCAGCCCTTAACCAGATTTTGGCCGATCCCGCTACACCACATAACCAGTAGTTGCTCGGATCCTGGTCGCCTGTCATGTCCACATACTTGCCCACCAATACCTTGATCTCCTTGGCGAGGTCCAGCATGGGCTCGTAGAAGTCCTCGATTGGCTGTAAGCCCTTCCAGGTGACGAGTAACTCGTAGTCACTGGTGGCTTCGTTCCAACGGTGCTCCTTGAGACTATCCACAGCAAGCAGGATACCTTGAGATGCAACATGATCCAGCAGTTCCTCTGTCACTTCGAGGCTGTCATCCGCGTACATCTTCAAGCGTGAGACATGAACGTCCTGTTCGTCACCTGTAACCAAGTGCTGTACGCGAAACGAGTGTGCATCAGCTCGCACCACTCTGTAGGGGCCAATCCAAGTCACCTGAAGCTTGTTCCCGTGCTTCTCGTCGACGCGAGACCTTAAAACAAAGTCACCCACTGCAAAATTCACGAGGTTTCACCGCGCTGGCGCTTCTTGTTCAGCAGGCGTTGCTTCTCCCTCTGGTCTCCGACGTCCTTGTGCATCTCGTGTATACTGCCACGCAGCTTATCGAGGAACGCGTCGATCGCATCACTGTTAGGAACAGTTTGTAGCTCATCCGTCTCCGGCAGGTAGAACTCCTTGAGTGGCGTGGGGCACTGCAGGCCCGTGAACAGCTCCACCGGCGCACGGTTCCCCAGCGATGGGACAGCCGTGTGGTTGAGACTTGATTGGGCCATGGGGATCAGGTACACTCAATCCTTGTAGCTTATCTTGTACTCCAGGATCATCGCTCGCATGACCTGCAGTATGTCTCGGTTGGCCCGTTCGACTGAGCCATTTATCCAGGGACAGTAAGCTAGCGTGAACGATTGCTTGGATTTCAAGCGACGACACAACTCCGCAACCACTTCATTCTTGGAGTGCGTGCCATTATCTGATACCCATTCAGGCAGGATACCAAATCGAGAGTGCCAGTCCAGCAGGGCTTCAGTCACCACGCTACTGTCGGCTATGTCGGCCACAACCAGCTCGCAGTAATGGGTCGCGTGATCCTTGAGAACTAACAGGTACTTGCTCTGGCCATAAGACTCGCCCATGTAGAGGAAGTCAAAGTGGAGGACTTCATTACGAGAGCTGCACTTGATCGTCTTGCCCCACGGCCTGGGGATAATCTTTCCCCCTCGCGAATGCTGACACAGCAGACACTGGCCAACAAACGAAGAAACCACCGCAGAGAGGTGCTCGAAAGCAAACAGACGGCGCAAGTGTGCGGCCATGGTGTGTTGCTCACGATGTCCTTGGGCGCCACAGTGTGTCACGATACACAGCCGCTGAATGAGATCCTTGGCCTCGGAAGGTACCCAAATCTTGTCATTAATCATGAGTAGTCCGTCGGCGTTCCGTTCGGCGTCCACGGGCGCTTCAAACTCGGACTGGGTGTCAAACAGCTCCACTAGAGTAGGTCAGACAAAATCCTCAGCATCAAGGGGGCGCAGAGGTGCCGGGCTTCGTGTCTCCGATGCCGCCGGCTCCGAGTGACTGCGCACAGCTTTCAAACGCTTGACACGAAGCGTAGGAGTGTGATTTCCAGCCCAGCGTGAGATCATATCCGCCCATACATTGGACGGACCAGGAACGTGCTCCACTACATAGCGGAAATTGACCAGCTTCATCGACCAGCGCAGCAACTTGCCCTTTATGTGCTTTTTGATACTCTGATGCGGGGCAAACACATGGATCAGGTTCCTGTGATCTCAATACATGCGAAATGGCTTGGGCCTCAGCAACAAGTAGTCCAGTTTGTCACAGGCCGTGACGATCGGGAACACCTCCTTCTCGATCACGGTCCAGTTCAATTGGCTGCCACTGAAAGTGCCGCTCATGCAGTACAGGGGACGATGCTGCTAGTCCGTAGCAGGCACCCTTGGGTCAAAGTTCACGACTTGAGTTACAATGAGCGACCAGCCGACGTCGGACGCGTCCGTGAATAAACACGTCGTGGCTGTGTCATCAGGAAAATCTATAGAGTAGCCGCCGTCGCTAACATCTCCTTCATATTGTCGAATGCTTGGCGCTCCTCCACAGTCAGCTCCAGCTCGATACTAGCAGCTGCACGTTGAGTTCGCCTCGTGGTGGCGAGCGCTGCGTCGAGGCGTTTCTGCAGGGGCGCTATCTGTCTGGCGAAGTCAACAATCGACTCCCGTATCCAGTTGATAGCACACACGAACTGCTGAAGTTCACCAGCCGTCTTGGGGTACGGCATCGCTCGCAGCGTGTCGATACGGGTTGGATCATGCCGCACGCCCTGGTGATTGATCAACCTGCCGCACCACTTCACCTCAGACTGGTACAGGCTGCACTTCTTGGCGCTGAGCTTGAGCCCAAATTGGTTCGGCAGCGAAAAAACCTCGGCCAGATAGGTGTCAATACCGTCGGCGTAAAGCAACAAATCGTCGATCCAGATCAGGAGGTGCTCGTACAGCAGACTCGTGAAACAAGTCTTCATAGTTTTCTGGAAAAAGATGGCTGCGTCGCTGCAGCCTTGTGGAACTCGCCTCGGCGTGAAAAGTTTCTCGTCCGTCATGTAGGAGAGGAACTCCTGGCACATCTCAGCGAGGTCCAATTGCCAGAAGCCCTTAAGAAAGTCAAAGAGCCCAAAGTGTTTTTTACCACGTGCATTCTCCAAGACTACCGAAAGTATCGGCATGACAGCGGCCATCACTTCAGGCTCAGCTTTAGCCAGTCGATAGTCCGTCGTTTAGCACAAGTCCATGAGATCAGCTGACTTCTTGACGGGCAAGACGGGACTCGCCCAGCGACTTTGGGGGTTCTCATACACCATTCCTAGATACACAAGTCGAGCGTTAAACTCACGCAGGAAAGTGCGGATGTGCGGCGGGTACTTCCGGGGCTTACACTTCGTCGGGCGAGCCCCGTCACGGAGTCGCACTTCCAGCGGCGGCACATTTGCCGGCGGAACAGCGCGCAACTCCAAGCGCCAAACATCGTAGGCGTGCACGATTGTGGGTAGCTGCTCCACTCGGTCGGCTGGGAAACCATTCTCCACAGCGCGACTAATCAATCTCTCCACTGCGGCGAAAATGTCGTCATCGCTTGATTCTGGTTGGCCAGTGCTAAAAGACAGGTCGTCTGCCTCCAAGTCAATTGAGTCGTCGCTGGTTTCATCATCACCACGGCCAGCCAGCTGCTCCAACTGCTGGTCAACATTAATGCCGAGTGTAGTTAGCAGGTCATTGCCCACTATGAACTCCCCGTCGTCCACGTCTGCGATGAGGACGTCCACAGCATCCATCGGCTCCACCGGACCCGCTGCGGTGTGGATCAAGACGTGAAGCTTGACCTTCCATTCGGCCGTCACCCACGTCGATCTAAAAGCCTGGCTGCGCACGGAGGTGTCCAGCCTCTCGGCTTCCAGGGTGGCATCGATGGCACAGAGCTGCTGCCAGTGAGACCGACCAATGATGGTAATGTCGGACCCACTATCCGGGCAGTACGG